GCCTACAATTTTAAACGTGTGTAATATTTTGAATGTTATTTCTAAGATACAAAGAGAAAACAAAAATTATCAAAGAAGTTAAAATAAAATACAAACATTTGAGTAAATTTATTAAGTGAAATGAAAATTACAAAAAAATATAAGAGAAAATTTACACACTAAAAAAACGATCTTTTCATTAGGATGTTTTGCAAATAGAATTGCACAAAACTTTCATAAAGTGCGAAAAAATATATATTTATAATTCGTAAAAACTTCATCGTAGAACTCTCAAATAAAGAATTCTTGGTGTCGAATCCAAAACAATTGCATAGAGTAAATAGTGTCGATGTGATCCATTATTTTTTTTGATATAAGATTTCTCACCTCATCCTGGCCTTCTTTTGCAGCTATATGTAGGGCAGTATACATGTCACGTGTTGTATTGTCGACCTATTAGTAAGTATCAGACTATAAGAATAATGTTTACATATATAAAGTTTAACAACCTGGGCTCCATGCTGAAGCAAAAGCATAACAATATCAACATTTCCCAACCGCGATGCAATATGCAATGCTGTTTGTTGCTCTCGAGCACGTGCGTCAACCTGAGCTCCATTTCTCAACAAAATTCGAATTATATCGGTCTGCAAAACAGATATTTAATAAAAAATATAATAATATGACAATATTTAGTTTTTAAAACGAGAATTTTTAATTTAAAGTGTTTCATTCAATTATTTTAGAAAATGACAGAACACTAGATAGACGAATAGTTTTTTTGGGGGCTAATTGGTCACATAGGGTGGCGACAAATTCGAATTTTTAGTAACGACAATAGCAACGGATATCATAGGGCTGATTAAAGAGCCAATGAGGTTCATAATGGTTACCATACATTCGTCATCACGTACGAAAATGTGGCATTGAAACATTCGTTTCTTGTAAATATGCATATTTACGATTTGATAACTACGTTGCATTGGACAATTTTGTGAACTGGCTAACGAACAATAAAGCCAGCCTATTCTACATGGGTTAGGTTGAGATTTCACTAAATTCGCTGATTAGAATCAAGAAGCATGTCTGCTGTCCGGGCACACGGAAATTTGTGAAAAGCGTTAAGAAGAAATAAAATTGTGTTATTCGAAACATGGGAGAAGATTATATGTCACAAACATGCACAAGCTGTAGAATCCGATATCAACAACACAGAAGAAGTGATCGATTCAATACGTGCCATAATTGTGTTCCAGGCCTTTGAATTGCCAATAATAATTGTGACAAAAAAGAGCTGTCGACAACTGAAAGTGGAACGAACGGCCGTTATGAAAGCAAAAACAAATCATCGAATGCTCAATCGGTTGAAAAAAAAATTGAGGTAAAAGTGAAAACGAATATAAAATTCATTGTTGATCCATTTTACTTAGATTTTTGTCTAAGGTTAAAGTATCCAATCATTGAAGCAAATGCTGAAGCGGAGAATTTTGCTGAAATAAAGAGTCTTACGGGAGTAAGACGAACTTTTCCGCACGGTGGTAGTTGCGTATTTTATTGAGAAAGTTCAAAATATCATTTGGTCAATTTTTCAAGCCATTCAAACGGCGTAAAGTTCGAGACCAAAAAATATGTTCCAACTTTGGCAAGTAATATTCTTTAATTTAATAGCAGAGGTATTCGAGAAAAGATTTTTCACACTTTCATGATGAACCAATTTGTACGACATTTGAAAGTATTCTATTTTCTAACAAAACACTATAAAAATATGTCTGACGTTAATTTTGCCATAAAAATTATTTTTGAAACACGTTTCATAACTAAAGTCACAAAAAATTTGGATTTTTGTATGGGAGCCATGTCTGTAATGGCGTTAAAATTTGCACCGGGTATTTTTTTCACAAAAAAAAAACATTCGGAGGGTTTGGAGAAATTTCAACCAAAATTAGGGGTACCTCCCATACAAAATATTCGTTTTTGAGCCAAACATTTTGTATGGGAGGTACCCCTAATTTTAAATCTTCAAACTTTTAGAATGTTATTTTTTTGTGTAAAAAATAGTCTGTGCAAATCTTCACGTCATTAAAGTAGCATACAGGCATGGCTCCCATTCAAAAATTCAATTTTTTTGCGGTTTTTCAAGGAAACCGTATCAAAAATTGATTGTATCTCAAAACTAATCTCGGATCTGGTTTTCTCGTGCCAAAAAACCCCTCAATACATATTTTTGAGTGTTTTTGTCTACATTAAGTATGACTTTCAGACGAAAATTGGACTCTTTTTCATAGACATTGGACTCCAGGCATGAACTCCATCAACCAAAGTCGCTCAAAATCTAATGATTTCTATTCCTCGAGAGCCCCAATCATCCTGTAAAGTCAGATTTTGAATTAAGTGCCTACGATGAGCGCAATCTTGCTAACAAATTTTGCGTACGACGTACGACGTACAGATTAACAAAAACCATGCTCAAAACGGCCTGATTCGGGTTCTCTGATCTCAGAAACGACCAGAAAACATGTTTCTGAAGTTTTCAAAATTTTGACCGATTACAATACTTTTCACCTTACACTATGTGTGCGGAAAAGTAAAATTGGCCAAAATGCATGTAATCGATGCCAATATATTCAGACGAAGTGCGGGAATTGAAATACAATTCGACGGATTCAATACATTCGCGGTCGAGGCTGAGCCAAATGCAGCAGCTGCTTAATTATAATTTTTGATTTTAATAATAATTATTATTATATCGCTAGGCCTTGATTTTGGCTTTGCCCAAGTTTCTTAAATGTGGTTAAACTTACTTAATTAAATAAACCACTTAGTATTGCCAAAAAATAAAATGAAATATTAGATTTAGACGCTCAAATCAATAATAAAGAAATTGTATATTTTTACCTGATTGGCACGGCAAGCCAAATGCAGAGGTGTTTCTGTTTGCAAAAATCCCGAATAAATAGAATGAATAGTGAATAAAAATTATATTAACATTGTTATTACCTCCACGACATGTTGGTTGATCTGGACTCGCCTCATTCTGCAGCAAGTAGATAACAATATTCATGCATCCCATAAACGACGCAACGTGAAGCGGGGTCTGAAACAAATAGAACAATAGATAATAAGGTTTCACATGGTTACATCATTACAAATACGAACCAATCCACTTTCAGTTGTAGCTGATATGCTAGCACCGTGCTTAAGCAAGAGTTCAACAACTTTTATTCGATTCTTCTTGCAAGCAATATGAAGTGGGGTGAATCCATTTAGTGCCCGTGCATTGGCGTCAGCATTACGATCCAACAATAATTTTGCAACGCGTACGTGTCCGCAATGTGCAGCAACATGAAGTGCAGTTAAATAATCGACAGTAACTTCATCAACAGGAGCACGATGATACAAGAGAATTCGAGCAGCATCAACATGTTCACCTTGCGCGGACATATGTAAAGGCGCTGGTGAGTGAATAATTGATGACGTTATAAATATGACAGTTATTTTTTTCAAACTATATATTTGCAAGCCAAAAATTATATGTTTACCCAATCCATTTTTAGTTTTTGCACTGATTGGAGCACCCCGTTCCAAAAGCATGTCGACAACCTGCTCATGTCCCGACCTTGCAGAACAATGTAATGGGGTAAGACCATCACGCGTTTTACTTTCGATATTTGCACCTGTAATAATAATAAATGTATGATAAATTTGATAATTTTTTATTCTTTTTAGTTACTAGTTCTAATTACCTTTTTCCAGAAGTAACGATACCATATTTGACTTTCCCCATTTGCAACTCACATGCAATGGCGTAATATTGTGCTTAGCTGGAAAATTGACGTCAGCACCTTTTTGAATGAGTAAGTTAGCAATTGCTTCATTTCCATAGTGACTTGCAATATGTAGTGGCGTAAAGCCAGATTTTGAAGTGACATCTGGATTGTGGTCATTCTGGAAATAAAAATTAATTATATTCTCATTTACTATCAAACAAACAAAAAAACAATTCAATTTATTTATTTGTCAAAAAAATTTAATACAGCTCCTAATCATCGCGTCTGATCAACTAGCGTGTACATCAGTATTATCTAACCGATAAATAGTTTAGTTTACCTCCAGCAGAAGTGTTGCGGCTCGGACATCATCTTTTTTCGCCGCGATATGAAGGGCTGGCAAACGTACTTTGCCCCGGGTATCACTTTCTAATAGAACAGCAACCACTTTGTCATGTCCTTGTTGCATCGCCACTAATAATTGTGCATATGATTAGACATATAGAAAAATAAATAAGATAAAGTGTATTTTTTTTAAGTTTATTTATTTATGGTCTATTGGAATTTCAAAAGACAGTTCCTGGCGAAGTTAATTGTGTGACACCCAGGGAAGTTATTCGTCTGGTTGTACAAAAATCGGAGGTTTAAGTGCGTGTGTAGTAGACTGGCCCCCAAAACACAAAAGTTGAAATTTTTTCGCTCTTACCTCGGAATACTTTTCCATATGGTGTGCAAATAACGT